GGGGAACTTTTTCAACTTGTACGAATATTTTTTCACAATTTTTTGCTTGTGTCGATAATTTTTTTAAATATAATCCCTTGCACGAATTTTTTTATTTCAACTTATAATTTTCCCTATTGAAAAGTCTCTGCACGAATTTTTTTTTCGAACTTTTTTTGTGCACGAATTTTTTATCTTTAAATTTTTGTTTCCCCTGCTCGATTTTTATTTTTGCTCCCCCCCCCCATCACTTTTCTAATGGTCCGCCCCTTACAGTTATTGAAACAAAATTACTGCTTTCACGTGATGTGCTTCTCGTCCAATGAGAAGCAAGAATACATCAACTTTGTCTTTGACACTTTATATGTAATAATATTGTTTGTACCTTATCGCCAGAATAAACTTGACCTGTGGAAACCTCAATGAATCTCTTTATACCAGATTTTGCCGCTTGTCTTGCGCAGTTTAACGACACTTTTACAACACCTTCTTTATATACCTAAATAATCACAGACATTCGTTCTTTTTAGGACGCATATGGTATTTATCAAACGCATTAGTAATTCATGAGCGAAATTCAAAGCCAATGGACCTATTCCCTAATGAACAAAATTTTGATCTATACGTTTAGACAAAGATTTCATCACAGCTTGAAAGAGCATCACAAAATTAGTAATATTCCGAAGTTTCGTTGCGAAATGTTGTAAAATGCGGATAATATAGTCCTGCGAAATTTGCCGTTTTTTCAATCATTTTGTATTACGCACGGGAAATTGATACCTTTTCTTAGAAAGCGGATTTCTCTTTAAATACAAGTCCGTTTGAAATAGTAATATAACAAACTCGAAAGCTGTTTGTTACTGGCGTACAGTATATAACACCTCGAAGTTTTTAAAAAGCTCGTTTCTCAACGCATTTTTTGGTATTTTATACGCCGGCAATAAACGCTTTCTCGTTCATTATATAATATATATACATAGTAAAGGTTAAAGTAAGACGAGGAAGGCAGGACAGGGCAAGGTATGGTAAGACATGGTAAGATAAGGCAAGGTAGCGCTATCGGAGCGAACGTCAACGTCAAATTGCTATTGTGTAAAAATCTAACTTAAAAATTAAGTTTAACTACCTCTTCACTTTGTCCATATTTTGTCTCAGCTGCTAGGTTGATGCAAAAGTCAAACGGTGCATCGCTAAATGCTTTTTCTGCCGATGCTGGAAAAAGGAACAAAACAAAATTACACAAGCTGAGACGAGGCTGAGATGTTGGAATAGTATAATATCAAGGCCAAGAGCAAGGAATTCGAAGATTCAGAGAGGACGAGACGGATATCACAGATTATAGAATCTTCGTGTCGTACATTAGTGTATTTTCTGTTTCTAATGGTTATAAAGAGTATCAAAGATATATTTTGACAGTAACATACAGTGGCGTAACGTTATATCAGGGGGCCCCCGGTTCAAAATTTTCGAAGGCCCCCCTAGTAGAAGTGCCAAAGGCACGAGTCGAGCGCCGTATATGCACGAATTTTCTAGGGGGTCCAGGGCATGCTCATCCGGAAAATTTTTGAATTTAGACTCTCTGAAATGCCATTTCCTGGACTTTGGGGAGAGATTTTACAGAAGTCTGATGGTCATAAAACTACATTGTAACATATCAGAGGCCCTGACCAATGTTTTTGCTCTATTGCCTAAGCCTGGGGGCCCCCATTTAGG